TTTAATTGCTAGCTCCTTTGGTCTTTCAAGCCTCCATCCTTTCCTTTTTCTCTCTTGTTCTAGTTCCAGTGCTCTTCAAACCTTTAACAAAACCATTTCAGAAAAATCAATGACAAATAAAAAACTCTGCTCTGAAAAAAATATAAAAGTTTGTTGATGGAAAATTCAGGAAAATTCAAGTCCTTTGTAGACTTAGGTCAAGATTCCCAGTGAAACCACAGCTTTAAGAATATACAATTACAATTACAATATAATTTAGCTGAATTCCATGTCTTATTCTAAAAGTGCACCATACATAGGCAGGTAGATGCTTTTGCTTCCTTGACTAAATAGGCCTCAGAAATTAACTACTTCTGAATGTAAGAATCTACACACTTCACAACTAGAAAGCAGTTTTTAAAATGAAGTATTAAAAGTCCCTTACATAAACCTTAAATCTAATAGCAATATCCACAGGATTCCATGGATACTGCTGAGGCTTTAAGGCACCTCTGGAAATTATGTAGTGCAAGCCTCTGCCCAAAGCAGCCATCTAGAGCAGGTGGCTAGCTCAGGGGCAGGTCCAGCTAGGTACCGATTATCAGCAAGGATGGAGACTCCACCAACTCTGAAGGAAACTTCTTCCAATGATTTACCACACTCAAAACAAAAACCAAAATGGATTTGGTTTGGATTTTTTTTTTTATTTTTATTTTTTATTTTTGGGTGAAATTTCCTGTATGTTAAACTATGCCTCTTGTCCTTTCAGCGGGCATCATGGAGAGGAATCTAGCTCCAGCTTCTTTACACCACTATGTATTTATACACATTGATAAGATCACCACTAAGTCTTCTCTTCTTGAGGCTAAACATTCTCAGCTCTCACATCCTCTCCCCATATAACAGATGCTCTTTAATCATCTTAGCAGCTCTTTCCTGGACTCATTCCAGCATGTCCATCTCTTGTACTGGGGAGCCCAGCAGTGGACACAGTACTGAGGACATGTTTTTGCTTATGTCCATTTTACTGGTTCCACAAAAGGAATTAATTTCTGGTTTACTTGTAGCCATTTTCAGCTCCACTCCTGCATACATACATACACCTTGGCATTATATGGCACAGCTTAATGTTTCAGTGTTGTGAAAAATGCTTTATCCCACAGAGGCCATCTAGGCTAGAAATGGCACCAAATGTGCAAAGTCAGAAACAAAAACTTACGTATTATACACAGCATGTGCTATTTGATATTGCATTTGAAATTTTTCACTTCTAAATCGTTAGAAATTGATTTAAATTGAAACAGATGAATCTACAGGAAGGAGGTGAAGAGGAGAACTTTCTATAGAGTATGTCAATCTCTAGATTAATTAATACATTGATTGCATTTGAGAGACTGCATGTACCTGTCTTCCCACTGAGATACCCATGGTGCAATCAGTGGTAATTTAAAAATCAATTGCTCTTCTGTAGTAATTAAATTTGTCCATTTAAACAGATATAATTAATAGATCCTGGAACTAATTTCAAAGCAGGGATTCTTAAGGGATTCTAGACATTAAGGGCTGTGAGCCAGCAATTTGTGGATTTTTTTACTCAACAAATGAACATCTAAATAAACTGGTTTATGTATTAGTTCTAAATACACTATACCAGATATGAAATTTATCTTGAAATATACTGCTAGGCAAAGCAAGACATACTGCTAGACAAAGCCAAAAAGTTAATGGAAGTGACTGTATCTAGACACAACTGTATTTTAAAGGTATTTAAATATAATTATTCTTACATTTCACACAACTAAATGTGTTACCTAAAATAATTCATCATATTCTCTTGAAATTTCTTGTTTGAAATGTTGCTCTATTTTTCTGTAAGTCTAGTTGAATAGTTTACCTTCCTCAAAAATGGCATTAAAAGTTGCTTTTTGTTTTGAGCACACAGAGAAGATTTACAGAGCTTCTGCCACACATACTGCTTAATCAAATAAAATATGATACTTTCACGTGTAGAATACATATTTCTGAGATTCATTAAACAACTATCTCCCCTCAAGGCAATTTATTGTTATGCACCAGAGGGCTTTATGATGGACTATTTAGAGGGGGGGGGAAAGGCAGAAAATAGGACAAGAGGAAAAGGGAGAAACCTAAAATAAGCTTGAAATGCATATTCACAGTTTTAAACATATTTCCAATTTACTTCAGCCCCAAGGTGGCATTGACACATTATCAAGTTATATACTCATTATATGCCTATTTAGCCTAGAATTCAATAAAAATAACACCAGGGAAATCACTGCAAAACACTGCATATACAGCACATGTTTAAAGTAGGGAACACCTTACAAAAGCAGACATAATATTAACAATAAAGTGTTGCAGTTAACTCACAGACTGCCCCTGCAGCTCACGTAATTGAATTGTCAACTGTGAATTTGCAGAGGCAACTTTACCATATTTTAAGGCAAAATCTTATAATTCCTAAAAATTAAAGAGAATTTAAATTTATTTGAATAAGGTCCAGTTTTCCGTATCAATATACTATAGCATACACCCACAAAAATAGTAATCATTCAATTTTTGTTAACATTAAAACTGAGAAGCTAATACTTACTTCAGTGTCTATTCTATAAGAAGTGGAGTAATATGCATTTACAATAGTAGGGTAAAAGAGTTACATAGCTTATTTTGCTGTACCAAGTGAGAAATAAAGTTTTCTTTCACAAATGAAGTCAACAAATAAAGTTGTCTTTTCAGAAATGAAGACAACTCAGCATTTCAGGATCCCGAAATTCAGTTCTAGCTATTGAGACTATAGTATTGTCAATTTTTTCTTTAAGGAAAGTTTAGGAATTCTTTCACTGTTTATTTTTATGCTTTCTTTTCTTTGAAAGAAAAAATGTAAAAAAAAAGAATCTTACATATAACACTGCAGGTATCACAAGAACCAGATCTGTTTAGCAGTTTGAGTGTCAAGTCAGATGACAATCATGCAGATTGTTTCAGTATCCTCCCGTTTTATTTATCTATTAAATATAACCTAGTCTAGATAAATGAAAAAGTGAGAATGGCTATACCAAAAGACACACCTTTTCAGTATGTAGAGAATTGTTACAGAAATGTTAAGATCAGTGTCTATGGTGAATCAATAGCAGTATCTGGGTGTGGAAACATCAGAAGGAAAAAGCAGCTGAAGAACATTTTCAGAAATGGCTTGTATTCATAGCATGTAGCATCAAGATCTTAGCACGTATCTACCTACAGTTTAGCAGGACACCCAGATCAGGAGACAAAGGGCAATGAGTAAGTCCCCATGACTTTGGAAGTGGGACAGGATGGTGAAAATAATCATGTTCAGGTTACAAAAAGCCATATCCAAAACCAAGATGTCAGAAGAAGGTATAAACAGATGATTGAGGTTAGTTTCGATTTTAGATAACAGCACCCTCCACCACTAGGAAGTCTTTTGTTGTCGCTACAATGTTGCAATACTATTTTCTACAAACCCTGCGTATGTTATTGTTTAGTATATAAAATCAAATAATCGATTCTGTATGTTCACAGAATTTCCTACAAAAACATACTGCATCAATTCACCTGTTTTGGTATAAGTGGGCCAAGGCTGAATTTAGTATTTTTTGATTATGCTCTCTGCTAACTCCCAGAATTATATAAACAGATCCTCAGCTGGTATTCATTAAAACCAGGACAGCTACGACACTCTACACCAGCTGTGGATCTGCTACCTTAGTTACCAGGCATGAGCAGAATTCAGCTGCTTGTGCATCTTGCCTCAGACCAGGTCAGAGGCCTCATGAAAAACAGACTGCTAAGGTTGGATATACTTCAAAATGAAAGAGATGCTTTTAAAAAAAGATATATAATCAGCTGATCTGCAATTATTAAATTATTCATAACTTTTCTCAATAGCTTTATGAGATTAATCTGGCCAATATAATTCACTTTCTATAGGTGGGAAACGACACCTAGAAGTATAAGCGGCCTGCTTGCAATCACACAGGGTTACCAAGCTTCAGCTATAAGCTGTCTCAAACGCCAATTTGACTACAAGATTGGCTGTCTTCCAGTGAGGTTAATAAATGATTGTACACTATTGAAGTAACAATCAACACTGTTTAAGCTGTCTTCCTGAGCATTTAAGCTTAACTGCAAGCAAATTTTGTTCTGTAATGTTAAAATTCATTTTATGTGTTGCAAGCTAGGTTGGATATTATTTAGTAACACTGGTGATGAGACTCGATTTTTCATACTTCTAAACTAGGAAGTAATGATTGTTCTACAGACAGTTGTTTCTGGATATCAGAAACTACATCTCCAGGACAGATCTGCAGAGATACCAAGGCCTGAAAATTATATTATGTTTAGGCATGTGAGTGCTGTCAACTTATTTTTCATTGATGTATACAAAATTCATGAGTAAACTGTATATATACATATATATATACCCACAACATGTGGAAGAGGTGATTGGGTGTACATTCTATCCCAAACTGGAGTTTTGATTATAAAAGTCTGTTTTGTTATTGTTTAATCAACTGGCATCATACTGCAATGGCTTGTACTACTACATAAGCTACACATCAGAGGAGACGACTGATTTCCAGGTTAATTCATTACAAAAAGGAGACATAAATGATGATGATTCTCGCTGTCCCTTTGTTTCATTGCAAGTAGGAAGAGTTCTGCCCCATGAGTGAGAAGCACAGTATTGGCTTTTTAGGCCCGTGGGTATGGCCTAACAGTGGGTTTGTCACACTACAGGGTAACACTACCAGCATACTTTTAAGTGCAGACCCCATAACCACAGGGAACCGGTTACTTGCTTTTAGGAAGCTGAAGTAGAAAAAGTGTCTTATTTATAGGGCATAACGTGCCTCCAGCGATTGATAATCGATCAGGAGAGCCAGGGAACACTTTCCGCTCGCATAAACATAAAGCAGGGACGCGCTCGTCCCAGGCCCAGCCGGGCCGTAGCCCGGCCGCAGAACGACAGGGGCGGGGCCGGATTGCGCGGGGGAACGGAAAGCTCCGGCCCGGGTTTCCCCGCGTCCCGGTGCCATCCGGGGGGAAGAGTTTAGGCGGCAGCAACCGGGAACGATGAGGAAGGTGGAGGTGCGGAAGCTGTTTCTGTAGGTTGCTCCCTTCTTTGCCCCGGTCCTCCGTTGCCGCCTTTCTCCTCGGCCCGTGGTCAGGGCTGCTGGGTTGGTTACGGCCCCAGCATGGCACTGCCGGCAGGCAGTGCAGTGCGTCGGGGCAGGGTCCCTGGGCACGGCCGGGTGCGGAGCCATGCCCAGTGCCGGATGGCAGGCAGGGGTGTCGCTGCTGGCTGGAGGAGCCGCGGCGGACGGGATGCAGGCCGGGACGGTGCGGCCCTAGCGGGGAGCCCGCTTTCCGAGCGTGGCCGTGTGCCTGTTGGCGGTATGCCTGCTGCAAGCGCCACCTCACCAGTTGCTTTTAAATTTCTAACTGGATTTAAGTGGGGGGGTGGTGTCTTCCCCGGGGGTCTCAGGCCCCTTCGGCAGAACTGGGGTTTGTTCTGTCAGCCCTGCCGGGCCGTCATGTGTTTCTTACTTTGCTTTCCTTCAGAAAATGCTTTGAAAAATATAGGGAAAGCGTGTAAGAATGAGAGGAGTTAGTTTTGAGGAACCATAACATGAGGTGTTGATGTCTGTGTGACTTGCAGGTGAAGGGTACGTTTCTGGTGTAATTGGTTGCCCCATCGCGGGAAACTTTTCCCTAGGGGAAGATGGTGAGGTAATCTAGACTGCGATGTGCTTGCCTCAGCGCTTAGGTTCCTACCTCTGTTGCAAGCTATGCATTTTGTGTATCAGCAGCTAGATTTTCAGTCTGATTTGTAGTTAATGTTGCAAGACACACATTACTTTTCTTCACACGTTCATTGTTATAATTAATTTTCTTTTAACAGGAAAGCTCTAAGTGTTGGTTTATCTCAAGGATCTGAGGGTATACTACTAATAATGTGGAAGGATTCTTCAGTGACAACTTTGGAAATATACTGAGTTTTCAATTATTAAGTGTCTTGTTTTGAATTATGAGTCATGGGAGAGCAAGGCAGAATATTTATCTTGTATAGGGTCAGCTCTGTGGGTGTGAGCATTTCAGAGGTGTTTGTACAACCATTTTTAGAGACCTCCAGTGTTGGTGGTAGAGCAATCTCCCTATACAACTTGTATGCTAAGAAAAACTTCGCAACTGTAAAGACAGTAATGTACTTGAATCCTTCCTGCTATAATTTGAAGCCATTTCTAGTCACATCTATAAATGGCATGGGGAACAACTTTCTTTAAAGATGGCTCTTATGTTTGGTTTTGTTTGGGGCTTTTTTTTTTTTTTTCTTTTTACTCAGGTCTGTTCCTTAAACATTACCAGTTGTTTTAAACTTTTTGTGTATGTTATGCATTTAAGCTCTGATGATTCTTGATCCTCTTAACTGAATTAATTTTAATTGCTTCATATGCGTGTCTCAATTTGAAGGACAGTATTCAAATCTGGGTAGAGTATTCCAGCTGAATTCTACACAGTAGTGAGTAGTATGGAAGATTTATGTGCCATCAAAACTTAACTTCTGTTTATGCATCCTGGTATGGATGGCATGCTGCTGGCATACTCAGCTTCTTTTCTAGCTTAGACTTCAAGGGCTTTTATGCACAACTATAACCCAGTATGTTGTTCCTTTCCAGCTGATTATTCTTGCCTAAATTGAAGATCTGGTATTATTATTAAAATGCACTTCCTTTTTAAAAAAAACAAACAAACAAAACCCCCTCTCCTGTTAGTAAAGACTAGATTAGAATTCAGAATTTTCTTTCATTGTGTTTCCTTTTTGTTGCAGCTTGCTGCTATCTGTAATATTAGTAAACATAAACATTTACTTAAACATTAAATAACACTAGATTTAGGAGGGCTCTCTATGGACCTTCAGTGGCCTGTATTACTTCTTGATTCTGTTTTTCTGCATCACCTCACCGCCAAAAGGAAAAGTAGCACCAATTTAAAATTAGATTGGACGTATGTCACAAACTAAATCCTTATCACATAGGGAAGTACATTTTCTGACTTTAATTAGGGCAAGCCTGTGTGCTTCCAGGCCTGGCAGGAGACAATATTCCAAGATGGTCTTTTGCTCTTTGATGTTTAGCAGCAGCATGCTTATTCCTTAGAGGTGCAAGTCACAGAGCACCCTGAAATAGATGTGAAGAAGTGTGTCCTGAGTAAATAGGATTTGCAGATATATTTGGGCCACACTCTAATGCCCATCTTAGCTCCTTCTTCCTTCCCTTGCATCCACTAAGTTTACCTTATCTGAGCCTTCCATCTTTCACAGGGCACGAAGACTGCGGCAAGCTCTACTCTGCTTTTGACACCTTGTGCTACAGAGCATTTTTCTCATTTACCAGATAGAATCTTTAAAAAAATTATAAGCTAAATACAAAATCCCTTGTGTAATATGCCACAGCTGTCTCTTCCTTTGGACTTTTTTTCTTTGCATGTCACTATACTGTTAGAGCGTTTTCCTGATGTGTAAATTAGAACTGTATGACAATATGTTAACTAAAATTCATCACTCTTTACAGTTCTTTCTCAGGAGGTTTTTCTTCCCTGCAAATGGAGGTTGCCTTGAGCAGTACAGAAAGTTTCAGCATAGCAGAGAAGCTTTTCTCAGCCTACCTGTCTCTAGTACTATTCACAGTAGCACAAACTAGAAAGCATTTGGTGTCACACGCTTACTCTCTCTAAACTTCCAGTTTTCACATGATGTGATAACTGGGAGGAAAAGGGGGTCTCCTAAAAGCATTGTTTTCTTACATCTTCAGAAGGAGACTGAAACTGAGTAGCTGTTAAAATTCAACAGGAAAAGAGAATAGGAAAGGGAAAGTTGACTTTCTGAACTGCTTCAGCATTGATAAATGCTATCCTGAACTACTTCAGTGAGATTAGGTGACAATTGCATCTGAGGCATACATTCAAATGTTATTTAATAACGCCTACAATTACATAGAATCACAGCGTCACACAGAATCCCAAGGGTTGGAAGAGACCTCAAGAGATCATCTGGTCCAACCCCCCAACATGTTCCTCCTCTTAACAGCTGTTAGAAGTGAAATGATTCTACCAGATGATCAGGTTTCTCTCTCTTAAGGTTAAGGGAAGTATTGGTTCACCAGATATTTTAAGTCTTTTGTGCATGTGTCTTGAATCTTGTTGTAAGTTGCAATAGGCTTTTATTCTTTGCAATGACTTTAAATGGACTTTCCAAATATTTCTGGATTTTTAAAACCTAGGGACATTATCTCATTATGAAGAGACAGGGCTGTTGGAGATACTGAGTAAATTATTTTTTTTTCTTCTGCTGGTGTGTAGAAAGAGTGTATCTTGTGAGTTGTAGTATCAATATACCACAAATGTGGTTAGTAGAAATGTCTTGTGCATCTTAAAGTTATTATAAGTCCTAACTATTATGTTGTTGCTTTAAAGATTGCTCCCCCCATCTGTTTTTTGTGTTTTTTTTTTTTTATAAAGGGATATATGTAATTTGATAGAGGTATTTTTATTCTGTTGTTCATACTGCTGAAATACTTAGTCCGGTTTTCTACAGTTTAGGAAGGATGTGACCAATTAAAGTAAGTCCAGAGATGCGTAAAAAGACCAGTCTGTCTGGTTTGGGTTTTTTTTTTTTTGTGTGTGTTTTTTTGTTGTTGTTTTTTTTGTTTGTTTGTTTTTTTACCTAAAACCAGTACTTTTAGAAAAAAAGTTTTTCTAGTTTTGAAAAAAACAAACTCCACATGAGAGAAAGGAGATTTTAAATACACAAACTCGGTGGCAGAGAACACTTGTTATTTATTTTCTAGGTTCACAGCGGAAAAGACAATGACAATAACTTTGTAGTGAAGAAAGGCTCAGCTGAGTGCAAGGAGAATCTTCATGAGAGGGTGGCACATTGGAGCAGGAGCCCTGCAGAGATTAAGGAATCTCCTTCAGCAGAAGTTGAGACTGCTTTGGAAACTGTCTAGACATGAGTTGGCCTCACAGTAGAAGGCTTGGACTAAATGGTTGTTGTTCCTATAAATATTTTAATAACACTTCATGAACTATGGTACTTGCAAAGTCATTCTTTTAAGTTTGTAAGTCATTATGCCTTACCTGAGAAACAGTAGCTTGCCTAAGTGTGTTCTGTCTGTTGAAAATTCAGTTAAAACTACTTCATGATTTTGGTTTAGACTAAAACAATTACAGTGAATTACTGTAAAATCCTGTATTTTGGGGGGTTTGGTTGTTTTTTGTTGTTGTTGTTGTTGTGTTTTTTTTTTGGGGGGGGTTTGTTTTAAGAATGTGCTTTATTTGTAAATAACCTGAAATATCATAATGTAGCTGAACTTTGTATTATTTGGAAGTATAGCTTGAGCTTGACTTAGACGTGTTTGCTGCTTCTGGAAAATAGTGTAGTTTTTTCATATCATGTAATATAATGAGTGACTGCTCTGTTACCAGGAAATTTTAAGCATTTTAAGCAAAGCTAAATCAGGAGTATTCTAATCTGGATGCTTTTGGTCTCATAAAAATTGAGACAAATTTAGGCAATTATGTAGGAATGTAGGCTAAAATAATGCTCTTTTTCTTATTTTAGGGACCTGTGGGATTTAAGAATATTTAAGAAAATTTGCTGCTTCTACAGCCTTCCATCTTAGTGTGCAGTTGATGATTTCACTTGAAATACTGAAGAACAGTAAGCACGGTGTAATTGCTTTTCAAAAATGTTGAAAGTTCAGCAGTGTGTAACAGCTGATGGGATACCCAAGAAAAAGCCATATATTTGTGACATTTGCTATAAGCAGTTTGAAACTCCATCAAAATTAGCTAGGCATTATCTGATACATACTGGTCAAAAGCCATTTGAATGTCATGTATGTCATAAAACATTTAGGCAGCTAGTCCACCTGGAGAGGCATCAGTTAACCCATAATCTACCCTTTAAGTGTATTGTTTGTTACAGAAACTTCAAAAACTTAATCACTTTCTTAGAGCATCAGCAGCATCATAATGAAAATTACCAGAATGATACCAAGCAAGCAGAAACCTTTGTAAATTCGGAGAAAGACGTGGTCACTTGTGGCATATTTCAATGTTCTCTGTGCCAGAAATCTTTTACAACTGAAGAGAGTTGGATGCTGCATCAGTGTCTGAAGGCAAATTTTCTAAATGGTGCTAGAAGGAGAAAGGAAAGTCATGCTTGTGAATCATGCAACAAGACATTTCCATCAAGATCTAAGCTAGAAAGACACTTCCTGATTCACACTGGCCAGAAACCCTTTAAGTGTTCTTCATGTGGCAAATCTTTCAGACAGTCAACGCACTTGAAAATCCATCAGCTTACACACACAGAAGAAAGACCTTTTCAATGCAGCTTTTGTCATAAAGGGTTTAAAATACAGAGTAAACTCATGAAGCACAGACAGCTTCATGTCAGAAATAGGATTTTTCCCGATATTGTATACAAAGCAAAGACTCTTAAATATCCCAAAACATGTAACCTTTTGGAAGGGAAGATGGATAATTTTGAGAATGCTGACACCTGTGAGTCACAGAATGACCTACGTGATGCTCAGTTAATCTATATCATACCCTTTCAGTGCCCTGCATGTGAGCAGTGTTTTGAAACAGAGCAGGTCCTAAATTTGCACAAATGTTATCTGAGAGATAGCAAAAGTTCAAATAATAATATAACAGCATGCAGACACTCAGTCAGCATGAAAAATAAGATCCTGAAGAAGCTGAAGTGTACTGGTGGAAAGGCAACAGATTTTTCTCTGACTGATAGAAAAAAGTCAAAATCAGGTCACTTTAAAAGTCATAACCTGGTTGCAGCTAGAGATCAGGGCTCTGATCAGCGTGCTTCCACTAAACCTTTCAAGAGTTGCCATCGCAAGCTTGACGTACGCAAGGCACCCAGTAATCAGTTGAAAACGTTTTCTGTGCCGTTACCTTGGCAAGAACACCTGCAACCTCACGACTTTGGAATTAATTTAAAATGTATGCTTGCTGGTAAAAGCATGTTAAGCATCAGTGATTCACTGGATAATAAAAAGAATGATTTTTATGGTTCATCAGATGATGGTGTCTTTGATAATCCGGAAGTACTTCAGTGTGCTTTTTCAGCTTCTGCTAAAAATATACATAACAGACACAAAGTGTGTAAATGTGACAGATGTGAAAAAATCTTCCCGTCTTCATCCAAACTTCAAAGACATTATCTTATACACACGGGACAGAAGCCCTTTGGCTGTAATGTTTGTGGGAAGACATTTAGACAGTCAGCTCACTTAAAAAGGCATCAGCTCACCCATACTGAAAAGAAACCCCATAAAAGCCCTGTTTGCCAGGTAGAATTTGAAAACCTGAACAAACTTTTCAATCATCAGGGAGATCACATTGAATTTAAGCCTTCTCAGCCTGTGGGTTATTCGGATTATTCTCAAACACCTTCACAGGCATCTGGCTTTCAAGAATTTGAGCTGATTCAATCAAACCAAGCAGCTGAAATCAAAGTTGAAATTGAGTCAGGGGACTTTGTTCTTGACACCAGCAGTAGAAGCATACAGCCGTATTTGTGTAGTAAGTCGTTGGAAATGGAGCAAAGCAGTTATGGGTATTGGCACAATTTTTCTGAAGGTACTGGAAAAAACAAAGTTGCTAACAAACTGTATCAATGCAGTATTTGTTTTAAAACTTTTAAATCGCCTTCTAAGCTTGAAAGACATTACCTAATGCATGCTGGACAGAAGCCGTTTGAGTGTTTTGTTTGTGGTAAAAATTTCAGGCAGGCCCCACATTTGAAAAGACATCACCTTATTCATGCTAAAGAGAGTTTAAAGCTGAGTTCCACTGAGCAGCAGCCAGAGGACATACTGTTTTTATCAAAATTGGATAATGTCTTATGAAACTGTATGTTGAAATTTTGGGTTACATAATTATTAAAAGTCTAACATATATGTTAGACTGAACAACTGACCGAAAGGGATTATCCTTTTCTGTTATGGAGATGACATGTTGAAGAATTAGTGTACTGTCTTCAGAACTGTCTACTTGATATAATTTGTGATAAATGTGAGGAGATGTTTAAAACAAACAAACAAAAAGCAAAGTGGCTGTTTAATGGCATTTCTTTTCCTAAGTTAATTTATAAATACACATTCTTACCATATTAATAATGTTGCAGTAATCTGCAGTCCTCCAGAAGTCAGGTATTTCAAAAGTTAAACTTTATATATGTATAATATTTTATGACATGTTATCCCATGATAACTGTCAGAAAAAGAAGGATAAAAAGGTAATGTCCAGAATGCAGAAAAAATGGTCCTTTTACTTTTTTTCTGGCTCCCTGTATGTTGCAAGCAAAGGATACTTGCTGTGTATATTTCATACTGACAAAAATAAAAAAAATCCCATAGTTATGTTTAGATAAAAGAAGCAAAGAAGAATTGAGTAGAAAAGGGGGAAGAAGTGTAATGAGAAAAAATGTAGATGTGGCATTATAGAACTGTTAATAGAAAAAAAATTAACTGCTTTGTAATGTGCTTGGAGATCTATGCATAAGGAATTAGATCTTTCCCCTTCTTAAGATGTAAGTAGGCAGTGCTAAAACAGTAGCGTTTATAATCAGTTAATCCATTCTACCATTTCATTATCTCCAGTTCTTTGTATATTCCTTGGCTTTTCTAGCTTCTTTTTTTTTTTTTTTTTCCAATTCATACAATAGCGAACCATTTTTTAGAAAAAAAAAGAGGACAAGAAATTAACATTAACATTACAAACGGGCTTACCATCTGTTCCAGTCTCCTAGCATACATATTGCACCAGTAAAAGAAATGTTCTCTAAGATGTGATAATAACTCAGATGAGCAGTTTTGTCAGGAAGTCATGTTCTTGTTACATTAAATATAAGAGACTAAAAATTACTTTTAGTTCAAATTAGGTAATTCTGGTTTTGCATTAATAGAATCTGTAGTTATACTTTCTGGTAAGTAGAGAGCTGCTGTGCCTGTGGGACTGGCAAAAAGTGAAAGTGCAGTGGAGATTTCTTCATTATGAACAAGAATTAAGTCTTTTTTTTTTTCTTTTTTTCACTGGAAAACTACCTTTCAGGATATTTTACATTGTTATGCAACTTGAAACCTTAAGTTTTTAATCCTGTTTCTAAATTAACATCTGTAAGGTACATGGCATTCTTTTCATTATTTAAATAGATCCATATTTATTTAAGTAAAATGTTTCTTTGGTTCTGTTTTAATTTTTGAAGTGTTTTATCTAGGTTTTGCTGTGGCATGAGCTTTGTAGTATTTGGTATAAATGAAATGAAGGGAGTTTTTATTTTCGTACCTGTTATTCTTTCCTATTTTCAGAGAGAATAAAATCAGGAAGGGTACTCAGAAACAGTCTGTAGTTAACTATGACTTTTGTATGACAGACAATTTCAGTACATTAATAATGACTATACTTATATATTGAGATTTTTTTTTCTCCCTATGTGAATTGTTTCATATTGAAAGAATACTGTATAAAATGTTTTGAAAGTGTATGGTAGAGCTTTTAAAATACTGGTAATAAATTATTTTATTTATACTGTACTTTTAATTGTATACTTTATGTGCAGGTCAGTTTTGAAACTATGTAATATTCAATTTCCAAAGAAGTTTAAGGCTACATATTAAAATAACTAACTTTGCATATTAGAAAAATAGGCTTCAAGATCTCTTTTGTTACCAAATAGAAATATGCTTAAAGATAGTAAGATCTTTTTTAAGGAGTCACAGTCATTTAAAAAAAATTCTATGTTTGAGAGTAATGTTCAGAGAACACTAAACTTGTTGTGTTTGAAAATACTCAATTTGAGTAAAATGAGGGAAAAGAAATATATAAAAAGCTCCTTTTCAGGGATAAATAGACATACATGTGAGGTGCTACTGTCTGATTAATTTGGAAACTAATGTAATATTTGGGTTCCATGGGATTTCAGAAGGGCAGTAAGGGCCACTTTGTTTATCTGGCTCTCTAACCCTTTATGAGAAGTTCTGTGTCAGTATAAATTAATTGTTTTTGAGGGGATTATAGCATAAACTAGCTAGGAAAAGGTAAAGCAGAAGGAGGAAAAAAATCTTAAGGTCGAAATCCTGTCTCTTTTGAAGTTACCAGTAAAATTCTCCAAGTACCTTTGAGAATTTGAGCTAGAATGGTTTTCCCAGTGTTAACAGTAACACTTTGTGTTGTTCATTAATATGTTAGTCATTTTCCATAATGCTTCAAGGCAAGGTCAAGCCATCAATCTTTGAAGTGTATTTTGGTGGCAGAGCCATTGCCTGTGGTTTTGTTAGAATGAGCTGATGTCAAATAGCAATAATCTCATAGTACTGAAGTAGTGGGTTTTTGTAAAAAAAAAGACTATATGCAGAACCAATGCATATTCCTGCAAATATTCCTGCAAACAGGAAAACAGTGGGTCCTCATGTGTTAATACTGAGCTCTCCCCAAGGAGAGCCTCTCAAATTACGCAGATACAGCTTTGAGGTAGTTTTGTGTGAACAAACAAAAGGTCAAATATTTTAAAACAAACAGAAGAAGGTGAAAGTACTTTTAAGACAAAGTACACAATATTAAATTCACTAGAACTGCAGTACCAACTGATCACATCATTTTCTATCTAGGAAATGTGGCTATAGATAACTCTAATATGATTTGATTGCTGTGCTATCCTTGCAATGTCTGCAGAAAACGAAAAATTGCAAAATATATATGTAAGTATTCCCATGTATGTCTAGGGGAAAATTCAGAAAGGAAGACAAGCCATCATAAACCACAGAAAAACTGTTTAATCACTTTTGTACCTGCTTCTCACAGAGTGTTTGGTTTTTCACTTGTCTGTGATCTGCTCTCACTCTTACACCCAGAGCCACAAGAAAATTTAGGCAAATGGGAGACAAACACAAACGAAATGGAATTGTTAATGAGACCCGAGGCTTCAAATTTAGGTGCTGGACTTAATGCTTAGTTTTCCTGGCTACCTTCTGGTATAAATGTAAAACTCTGAAAGTCATAATCTCGCAACAGTAGCTCTCTTGAGTAACACTTACAGTTGGATAACTCTTAAATCAATAAAGGCTATGGGTTCAGTCTTTCTAATGGCCCCTTGTAATAATGTTGAAAATGCCTAGATGTCCTAAATAACTAAAGGGGTCACGGTTCATATTCCTAGCACAAGGTTTTGTGGATTTTTAAAGTGCAAGTTTTACCTTAATAGCCTAGTTTTATGGTCTGATGGCTATAGATGAGATGTGTCTGAGAGGCAGTTATCATAAGGAAAATTGCAGTTACAGAAGTGACTTTTCTATGGTCTCACCTTATTTTCTCCAGGTTGAGCAAATTAATTGTACTTTTTCATATAATGACTAGTTCTGTCAAGTAGCTTTTAAACAGCATCTTTCTTAGCGTGTGTTAAAAAAATGAATCTTCAATGTCCATGCAAGTGAAGAAGTCAGTCTTATGCCAACAAAATCACTCACAAGTAGAATTGATCCTTTCCTTGTTCAAAAATTGCTGTTCTAACATGAAGGTGTCGTTTTGTACATCCTGAGTTACTTCAAGTCTCTAAATGCTGTTTTACTCCTGTACTCTGCCATTCCAGTTCCTGTCTGCCTCTAGGATATGCAAATGTGCATCTTGATTCTGCTGTACACCTGACACAGTTTGTATATGCCACTGAAATTTTTCCTCTTCACTGGAATACTTCCAGTGTCGCTGGTCCAAATCTGTATGGACCGGTGAAACACCATATGTGATTTGCGGAGGCTCATGGAGCTGGTTATTGCACATGTGCTGCCATGGCATGCAAAATGGTGCCTGAGAATGCGAGTGCATGAAGATGGGAGCAGCTGACTGGCTATGGTGAACACTGTGGCTGGTATGTAGGATAGCGATATGAATGAAAGTGGCCTGGGTATGTAGGATAGCGATAGCGTATGGAAATGGTGGCTATCCAGCTTTGCTTATGGCTGCTTCTCCAGATATGGCACTGGAGTGTACTTTGCTCATATAGTGAAGTAAGGGAATACAGAGAATTACGTGGCCACTGCTGTATAATAAATTACCCATGGTGTTTCCCATTTGTAGTGCTAATGCATTGCACTCAATTTCTATTGGAGTCAAAGAAAGCACTATCTTCCTGGTATGCAAATTTGTATTATTTTATTGGTGCATTTTTTTATGAAAGTGTAAGTTTTAATGCTTAGTATGTGCTTGCAAAAGTATGTGCCTGCTTAGTTCCAGGAACTCAGATGATTTCCGCAATATTGACTTTTATTTTGATTATAAGAGGATCCTGAGCAAAGAGATTCCCGTTAGTGACAATAGTTGTACTAAACTGAGTAGAAACCTACTAAGCCATCTAGACTCCTCAAGTGTATCAGTCAATTCGAGGATAATTTTTAAGATCAAAATGGTATAATTTTTCCATAACGTTGGGATCAACCTTGGATTAGTATCTTGGCAACCTTGTTTGCCATAGTGCACTGTATCTTGTATTTTATACTCTTGATCTGTATAGTAGCAGTTACTTGGGTAGTGAGAATGGCTTTGTAAGAATTCCCTCAGGCATTGAATAGTGTGTGTGATGCTGTGCAGTTAGCAGAGGAAAAATGTGAATTTGCCAGTAAGCTAAAATGGTTTGCCATGTAATAGTTGATATCACAATAGAAGCTGGGTTTTGGTTGGTTTCGTTGGTTTTTTTTGAGTAAAATATTAAAAGTTAATAAATTATTTTTCAATATTACACCAATGTGAGTTTTGGTCTTCTCAATAGCTATTCTGTTTTACTGTCATTTTATCCTCTCTTAAAATCCTGGCATGCTAATGGAAATGACTACCAAAAGCCTAGAAAATATGGAGAAAGGCACAGGTGAAAGCTTTAGGAGACTAGAGCTAGCTCTCAGCATCTTAGAATTGTTCTCCCCTGATTAAGTTTTATGCTGCGTATTAGATACATATCAGTTTTGTCTGCAATCTGTGGGGTTTTTTTGGTATATTGTGAGAAAGGATGTGATTGAGAATCTACTTTCACAATGATGCTGCAAATAGATTCAACTTCCCACAGCATTTCCCGAGCATTAGCAGCAAGGACGTTACTTGCCTTAGAATCTCATTTCAGTAATGAAGACCTATTCCTCCATCAAACAGATTCCTCATACATTATCTTTTTTTGTTCCTTAGAAATTTTGCCACATAACAGCCTCTTGCGGGATTTTCAACAAATATTTCTAGGGCTTTACTGGCCATTAGTCTCTTGTCTTCATACCACTGTTCTCCTCCAGTTGGTATGAACCTAACTAGATGTCTCTTAAGAGAATTAGAATAGCCCAGAGTCTGCTCTACCTTGAGCTGTTACCTAAATGTAAGCCCAGCTCCAGGAAGCTAAGAATGACATAAACTCTCTTACTTCCCCCCACCTCCTTCACTAGAGGCAGTGCTTGCTATTCTGGGATGTAAAAGCAGCTGGGTTGCTGAATTAACCATATTTTCTTCTAGTCATGAGCTCAGAATTTCCATTGAAGTTACTGTGAGTTTTGCACAAAAATCAAGGGCAGTACATTGGCCAGAACGTGTGCTAAATAAATATTTATACACAAATCAGAATGCTACTGATGGCTTCTTTACACTTTAAAATTCTAAATATTTTAAGAAGCATCTGTTACTAAACTAGAGGCATCATATTTGCTGAGTGGAAGTACACATACTGATTACCCATATTTAATGAGATAAATACAGTGACAAAGTTTTGCACTAGAAGAATGCATATAAAGAAAATAGTAAAAGCAATGTGACGTGACTGAATTAAAGCTGTAATGAACAGGCTGAATGTCTATGTGAATGCTAACTGCTATGAAGGATAAGCTACAAAGCTTATCCTTCGAACAAAGCTTTCCCATCAAAGTTTACATAGGTCCAAGATAATACCTATACTGACTCTGCATCTCAGTGCAGAGTTTACTTACGTCTGAGAAGCTGAAAGATAAGAGACATGAAGGATAAATATATGTGTGTGTGTGAAAGAGAAACAGTAAAAAGTGAAA